TGGCAACTATCAAGATCAGACGATTCATCTACTAAATATGCGAGTAGACACATCAAGCCAATAGGGCTGGACGTCTATCGTTATCTGGAGTCATATTATTATCCCCGGTTCATACACAGGGGGTAACTTGACGTCTTTCATCCAAAGATGAATCACGATGCTTCTCTTTACGCATTATTTTCTCTTCCAAAGACACAAGGGTCCAATATACGTGGCTCTTCCCGCTCGAATTGCATGCAAATCATGAATCACGGCTACGGCATGCTACGCTCTTATGTAGGACCCAAGCCCCAAGTGGAGTTGGTATCCGCCTTGGACCCTTAGCTATGACGCTGCATTAATGACTTGCAGGTCTATCATAGCGTTAGCAACAGTGTTGGTAGGCACTGCTTTCTCTATTTGACTAGTTTATGATAACATAGCTTGATTAGATTCAGAGCTGGATTTCAACTTCGGTCGTAATTTTCAGCTGTATCAAACTATCCATGCAAGCTAGTATATCAGATTCACGATGGAACAGCCTAGTGCCTACAACCTCCATAACCCCATCGTAGCTGAAGCCGCCAAATAGACTAGCAGCTCATATGTTGTCGATAGTAGTTTAGGCTCACAGCTGTTCCACACCACATCACAAAGACCAGCATATCCATTTTCTCTAATTGATTCCAAATTCCCAGATTAGCATGGATACTAATTCAAGCTTAAACTCGGCGATATTGCCGTTACTCCGGATATCAACGGAGTTCATACTATAGGTATACTACGCGTATACACTATACCAAGGAAGGGTGGTGAGGGGATGGTGTTGGATATATCGAGATATCTCGGAAACACCATCAGCTTTTTGACATATGCGGTGCAACCCTACCAGGTACCTACTCGCGATGAATGGCAACAGCATAGAAGAAAATTCCCGGTTCATCGTCAATGTGATCATCTCGAGTAAGAACTCAGAAAGCTGTTACACTACGAAACCAGATCCAACAATTAATGCACAGCACATTTACGGGTATGCAATAAGGGGCATAAGTAAGTCAAGAGAGGTTATCAAACTCATCCTCACATGTCAAATTAATGTTTGTCCCCGTACTTCACCAATGTGCAAAAAGTGGCTTACTGATGTTCTAGACGGGGTTCGATGGAGGTGATAGATCACCAATACTCCTTTCTTCAACCGTCGCACATTGGTTGTTCAAAAATTACTCGCGAGTGGCGCCGAAATCCAGTCTCATCATGATCCCACTTCATGAGAGCGCAGCCGGCTTATCCTCGCGAGCCTAGGCGCCGCCCAAGACTGTGGTAGGTTGGGCAGGAAATAATGTTGGTCTGCTGTGGCGGCTTCAAGTCACGCCACCATATACTAGGGCGCCGGTCATACATTGGCTCCCCGTGGGGGGTGCTCCGGGCAGTTTTCTTTGGGGACTGTTGCCTGTAGAGGCATAATACATATTGGTGGTAACATTGATTTCGTGAATAGTCCGGATGCCTCGTGATATCCTCAGATTTGAGGTGAGTAATTGGTTATCATTGCTCCACGATAGTCACTAAACTGACCTCATCTCATAGAACTACTCTCTTGGCTAAGTGAAGAAAATTACGACTACCAAGTATGTCGAGATATGGCTCACGGAGGAAACTGGACCCCCAACTACGTAGCGATACTACTAGGTAGGTAACTAAGGCATTGGTAACCTGTAGGTGAAAGCTGCATACTACGGATCTACTCACTACAACCGACTGTCTATTGAATGGCATCCCTCCTCCTCCCCCCCTATATTAGAGTCTTGTTGATATATTATAGGTATACCGGATTCCAAGTAGGTGGAACAAAGCAGGTCCACCCGGGTTATGATAACCCTACTGTACAACCCACCCTCGATAAGTGACAGAGTGGTTGATTCGAGAACGTCTAAATTGAGGGCGCAGTTTCATAAAAGAATATTTACAGACACCATTCTCGGTTGGCTGAAGGCTTGATCTGTGCGCAATAAATAATTTCGCCATTTATTATCCATCCCGATTTAGATCCGGCGTAATAGTAGCACACGAATCGATCATTATTATCGAGTAGCGATATTAGTCGATATCGCGAGCCCTGGTGTTGATAGACGGGCGACCTCGCTAAGCAAGCTACAGTGCCGAATCGCCAAGCCGTAAACGGTCGGCAAGGGTGGGTTAACCCACGGATGCCCTTCGTCTGGGTCGAAGCAACAAGGTCATTTCGCAGAGATTCAGAAAAGAAAAAAACTCGGTCCCTTTAAAACCCAGGTTTGACTCAGATTGTTCGGCTTTCTAGACCAACCTTCTTTCGGAGATTTTTAATTTTATGTTCCATCATCAAACCCCCATTCCCCACCTGATCGGGTTGCATGGATGACATCTCGTTTACTGCTTCGGGAAAATGGCTTCTAGGAACGAGCCTTGGAACGGACGGACGTGCGTTTCGTTGCGAGGGCGGGCGTGCTTCGAGCGGCTACGAATCGTAATTAGACTTCGTACGGCTCACGCTGGCGACGGGATAGAGAAGGCTGTAACCGCGATCTCACCCGGTTTACTCCTAACGATCCCGAGACGTGAACCAAACTACCAGATAATTACATGATCCATCACGTCAGGAACTATGATGGAAGTTTCGAGGCGGACATTCCGGAGTTTATTTTTGTTGACAACGCCTTGGTTATGACGGGTATCTCAACTGTGGAACGCCCCGAGCCTCGCTATCGTATTCTTCTACGTCATCGCCTAGGATGTAAATCAGGGTCCTATCTAAACATACGAGAAGAGATCTGGAAGCAATTATCGTCTCTAATCGCTTAATCCCTGGAGTCTTTAGCCTCAGATAATTATTTGTTGATACGTCGTAAAATGCACGATAGCCTCACGTAAGTCTCAGTCAGATAATCGTCCAAACTAATTACAACAACTCCACCAGAATATGTAACTAGAACATGTATATTCACGATAATATAGCACTGATTACTGAACCTTCACCTCCTCCTCCTCTTACACATAGCTTAATCACTAGGTATTATTAACTAACAGCCAACCTCTTCCAAGTAAAAAACGTCAAACGCGCATGCCATGCATCTACCTCATCTCGCGATCGCCCAAAGAAATTTAAATGGGCGCCCACACCCATGCGCGCGCCCACCGGGCTACCCCATTTCCGGACTTCGGCAGCGGGCGCGCATACCGCATCGGGTCTTCGAGCTTTCCCAAAACGGACCCCTTGTCGATCGACGCCCCGGCGAGAATCCAGGAGCTCATTACCCTTTCCGGGTTTCGACGTGCTGTACGTACTGTAGCATGCATTGTACGCTGTAGGTTGGATATCTTTTCGTCCGTTTGGCTTGCAACATTATGTAGATAATTACCCCTGAACCCCCAAACTTCAGTTAATTTCCTAATAAGCTTAATCTTCCTACTCGGCCACCGCTAGCTCGCTGTCTAGCGCTATACTCGGACTTTTATAGCCCTGAGGTAGCGCTGCTGGTGGCGGACTATGTAACATACGTATTACACTTTAATAATAGGTAGCGGTAGGACTTGGGAAACCCAGGGGAAAGTATGTATGTATGTGAAAATGAGGTCCAGATCGGATAGGTATCGATATTCCCCATTATTTTTTCACACTTTGGGGTTGGGCAATGGGCGGAGATAGAGGTAGTTTAGTGAGTTGGGCGACGCGTGCGTACGTACGTGACATCCGTTCAGGGGCACATCCGCCGCTCTGCGATACAGAATCTCCCCGCGAGCAAATGAGCAGCTAGTATGTAGGTATGTATGTGAGAATACCTACATACATACATACATACGATGCGAACGATATCGACTGGCGGACCTTACGCGATGCATGTCTGTATCGCACACACATACATACCTACCTACATACAGGTGCAGATATGCATGTCCATCTCAATATCGACAAACTCGGCACTTACGCGGTAAGTTCCGCGGACGGGCCTCTGCTGAACCGACGCTGTCCCCCAGTCCCCAGTGCCCCTACCTACCTAGATATGGATGATGTCCGCCCTTACATACTCTGGACAGCCTAGCTTACCAATCTGCCAGTCAAGTGACTTGCTTCTAATCCACCTGCGCTGGCACGTAGATAGGTAAAGACGGGTATGTATGTAGAGATCGTGCATGTCTTCAGGCCAGGCACCCAGATAAACATTACATACAGACCCTTAAGAGCAGGGTGTTTAGGCAGGTAGGTGCACAGTTAGCGAGGTAACGGCGGAGAATTAGCGGACGAGACGCGGGAGAGGATCGCGGGAGCTGCCTGCGTATGGGGCTGTTTTGTTGAGACCTGTCAACTTGACCCATGGATCACTTGCGTGCAGTAGCATAGCTACCGTCCGGTAGAACCCGAGCACGGGTTCCCAAGGTCGCGAGTCGGTTCGCTGGCGAATATGCATGTACGTAGGTGGGTTTTGAGGCGCCGATATAGGGTCTGTTGTCGGTAATAATGGTCGCGGTGAGGAGATGCGCTCTCGGGCGGTGGTTGGACGGGATGCAGATATGTACAAGTAGAGAGATCTTCATGGGGTTTACGCTTGTTTATCATATAGCGAATACCGATATACGACTAGGTTTTATGCAAGCACTTTACTGCTTATAGAAACTATCGACTAGTTCGCGATGAAGTTATACGCACCCCTATTTCATTATCTGGTTTAGGAGAGGTTCGAAGATATTAAGGTCTTCTGCGTGTGCTTTGGTCGAGAATCGAAACAGTTCAAGTGTCTAGGTAATGTACCTACATAATTGAATCTGCAGATAGAAAACAATAGAATACCAACATGAGTTATAATACGACGAATTGGATATGCCTATGCTAATCCCTTATTAGGTAGGCCTGTTAGAAACAGACTCTGTGGTTCATACGCGAGGATTAATTGTAGTTTACCTCCTTTTCATCAACTTCGCACATGCATTTAGTTTTCGTAGTCCATATCAAGATCAATATATCAATCTACACCCATAACAACCAGTCACCAAGTGAATCTTTATCCGGCCTGTGTTCTCTAGATCAGAGGAATCAAATAATACCAGTGAATAGACGAAGAAAATAGAAACGCACAAGAACTCTGCTGCCGAATTGTCGTGAAATGTATCTGCTGTACTAGCTACACCTAAGCAATTGTTCCCATACCATTACTTTAGAAGACCCCAATTCAATGTCTTCCAAGCCACTTAACATCTCAGCTTCATCCCCCTTAATCACTCTCTCACTCCACTCAATCAATCAACTCCATCTTAGCCCCCCTCTTCCCCGTCCTCTCATCCTTAACATCGCGAATCCTAACCCGAACCTTCTGAAACAACTCCACCTTAACCTCCCTACTCCCACTCGTCGTCAACACATACCCCTCCGCATCAAAAACACTCTCAGGTTCCGGCTCCGCCAAATCCCTCAGCCGAATCAGACCTTCAATCCCGAACCGAGGAACTAGCACCACAAACCCGTTACTGAAAATCTTCATCACGAACCCTTCCTCCTCCGCGACCCGTCCCTTGAGGGACTGGCCGACGTAGTAAGCGACGCTAGCCCGACCCGCGAGTTGCGCGTTGCGGTGGCGGACGTTGATGTTCTTGCAGACGGCCTCGAGACGGCCGCGGCTGCGGGTGGAGGGGTGCATGGGTTCGTAGTCGATGGCGGCGGCGAGTTGTCTGTGGGCGACGAGGTCGGCGTACCGACGGATGGGGCTCGTAAAGTGCGTGTAGATCTCCGACGCGAGGCCGTAGTGGCGGAACTCTGGGTACGCCTGGGTGCCGGCGCAGAAGTACTCCGCGCTCATCATGCAGCGGGTGGCCATGATGCGCACGAGCGTGTTGAAGAACGGGTTCTCTGCGTCTGTGCATTGGTCTAGGGAGTCGGCGAGAGCTTTCGAGCTGTCGAAGCGGAGCTCGAGGTTGCGCTTGACCTTGAGCTGGTTGGCTAGCTCGTCGAAGTTGGTCTTTGGAGGGGCGCCGTGGCGGCGGAGGATGGCGGTTTGTGGGAAGGCTTCGTAGATTTTGCCTGCGACGCTGATGTTGGCGAGTAACATGAATTCTTCGACAAGGGAGTTGGTGTCTAGAAGGGCCTTGGTCTTGACGTCGATTGGATCCGATGTCTCGGATTCCATCTCGACTTTGACTTCAGGCGAAGAAAGGCTGAGAGCTCCAGCGTCCATTCGCTTCTGCTTCAATTTCTTCGATAGCATTAATAGAGTCCTCATGCCTTGGGTCAAGTCATCTTGCTGAGAGGCATCGTCGATACGTAATTGTGCCTGTTCGTAACTGAATGCTTCGCGAGACTTGATGACTGATTTGGTGAACCGCGCGTTGACGATATCGGCTGATTGGTTGACTTCCCAAATCACCGAGAATGCGTAACGCTCTACGTACGGTTTCAGGGAGCAGAGATCGGTTCCAAGTAACATCGGAAGCATATCGATACGTTTATCCACTAGGTAGACAGTTGTTCCTCGGATACTGGCTTCCATGTCCATGGCGTTGCTTGGTTTCACGAAGTGTGAAACATCAGCGATATGCACACCAACTTCGAAGTTTCCATTCGGCAGTGGCCTTGCGTGCAGTGCATCATCGATATCTTGGCAGCCGGGAGGATCGATGCTGCAGATGAGAAGGCCGCGTAGATCTTCTCTATCTTTCCAGCCAGAGTCGTCTGTACTTGTAGGTACTCTCCAATCATGGCCCTCGGGAGGCAGACAATCTAGTACAGTCTTCGGGAAAGGCCGGTACTGGACGTCGTACTCAAGCAATAACGCTTCAGTCTCTGCAGTCTTAGTTTCGAGTTCACCTAGAGATCTAACGAAGTGACCGACAGGATGCCTGGATTCGCGATCCCAGGCGTCGATTGTGACCAGTATTCGCTTTCCTACTAGTTCGCCTGCCTGTCTTGTGCGTATGCGAATCTTTGGTACCTTCTTGTCCATCGGGACTAGGAAGACTGTCTCCTGCTTCCTTCCTTGCCTTCCGGCATCACTGGCGGATGATGGATCGATGTGACCAACATATTGGCGCCAGTTTCGTTTGATAACACCGACTACCCTTGCGGTAGGTTGTGGCCGACCTTCCGTGCTTAGACCTTGGGTCTTCTTTACCTGCTCTTGCAGAGCCCGTCTCTCCTGTTCTGTGACGATATCGCCCCCATCTTCATTATCGGCGTTTTCATTCTTCGTGATAGTATCTTCCTCGATAATCTTCGTCGAGGGTGCTTTCCATTGATCCTGAGGGAGCACTTCAACAACCACGATATCTCCATCTACTGCGCGGTTTATGTTTTCTCGTCCAAGAACGAGAAGTGCTTTCGGAAATGCGGGAACCTTGATCGAGGCTTCAAGGTAATTGTACGGTGACACATTAAAAATGCCCTGGTGTAATACTCCGCCCTTGACACCAGTCATCATCTTGGATAAAGTGTAGTGTTCGGGATATAGGAAATCGGATGCATTCTTGTCTCTAGAGATTCCTCGTTCCTTAGACTCTGGAATCATGTCGAGGAGTCGATCCGCGTCCTCGAGCCCGGAAACGTAGTCGCGTAATGTCATAACAGGAATATTTTCACTCTTCGCCTTTTGGATATTAAGTCTGTCGTCGGTGAGCATGACAGTAACGGGCGCTCGTTTGCCTTTCAAATGGTCATTGTACCATTTGACGGCTTGTCGGACTGCCCTGTCATTTCTGTCGTTAATGGTTTCACCCTCTTCACGAGTGATATAGGTCTCTAGTCTAAATTCGTTGAAGAAGACATAGAAGCGTTTGTCCTGGCTTTTTGTCAGGCCGATTAGGCGGTTGTATAGTGGTAAAGATCTGTTGCGCAGCTCTTCTAAGACGGTCTGTAAAATGATGACATCATAGAATGCCGAGCTCTGTTCAAACAGATCCATGGCGTTAAGTAGAGCATTTGTATCTGGGACGAGATAATGTCCCTGTGGATAGGCCTTGGTGCCCGCGGGTTTGTCCGAGAGGACGAAGGGGCTTCCTGAGTAGACGTCAGCTAATTGTAGATGGTATCGAGATGACGTTTAGACTTACTCTCACCCATGAAGCTCCTCGGAGCAGTTTCCATGCATTTCGAGCATAGCTTAGAGGAGCACGGGATATCTTGTCGGAGATAGACCTCACGTACAATCTTCTGGACCTTGCCGCTCTTCGTGGATCTCACGTAAATCTTGCTCGACAGATTTGGAGAGTTCGGGTCACCGCCCTGTGGTCTCTTAAGACTCGTCATATCGGAATTTAATTTGCCTTATTTTCGTTGCGTTCATCTGTCGTTGAATATTTCAAAGGTTGATGGCGATGTGAGGTATGAAATTTCATGATGGATGGAAATGAAGATGAATTATGTAATGGGCATAAATGCATCTTATCGATAAAGAAATATGCTATCAATTTAGGTTACACACGGCTTAGGTAATATCCACCATGATGTGCCAGCTGTCACTAGCTGCCACTAGCCGCCACCAGCCGTAATTATTTAGGTACACTTCGATTCTACCAATTTCACCAATTTCATCATTTCACCATTTCCACCTGTCGTGAACATTCCCATCCATTCGTTGGTTTCTGATATTATTCCTTACTATTTAACCAACTTCAAAGCATCCATGGAAACAGATGTCGTTATTCACACTCTAACCTATTGCACTCGGGACACATGTCTCATCTAACTAACATAATAAAATATCCTATGAATATTTACGAAGGACCAACATAAATGCAACCCTGGGACTCTTATAAACACTACCGAAGATAGTGAAACTTGCATGAGATATGTAAACAATTACTACTCTCCGCTCCCCCACCCACTCAGCCCGTCGGCTCTTCGTCGACGTCGAAATGTCGCCAAATGCCACCAAACACCACCAAATACCACCAAAAACCCTCACAGGCAGACGACGGCATACATACATAGTACATACGCATAAACGCACTTTGCCGCCCGTAAAATTTCTTCGCCAGCACTCGTCCGGGGAATGCGACGCGGTCGCGGATCTATATTAAATCTGACTCATATGATCGACCCCATTCAGCCGGCAGATTTATCCCGCGTCGCCTCTGAGCCGTCTCATTGGGTCCCTCGCTCGAACCTCGACCTCGACAGTCCGGGGATCGACTGGACGTATGTATGCTACTGCGCTGCATAGGCATAGGCATATATCGCCGCCGCCCGCTACTACTACCACTACTACTACTACTACTGCTGCTGATCTTAAAAATAGGACATGCCAAATCTGGGTCCCTACATACTTAATCTACGAGACGTTTCTGGAAAATTAAAAAGAAACCAGCTGCAGAGAAGAAGTTGAAAAGGTAAATAAAAGAAACAGAGGAAAATGACCCGCGCTGCAGCACGATGGGGCGCATCGAAGAACCCCGCCGGGGATCGACGATGGGCTCGTGAAGACGAGCGTCTAACATCCATACCTGCCTAGTATCTGGAACATGTATGTGCCACTGTTCGAGCCCTCGGAGAAGAGTGCGGACGGTGCGATAAGAGCTCCATAGGTGTTGTAGTCCCTACATACGTACGTATCTTCCCTTCTGAGCCTAGATCTGAGGGCATCGAGGCATGTGAAAGGCGGTGTTTGCACTGTTTGTGGCGAAAGTGGGATCCCTCATTCTACCAACCTCCATACATACCTCCTACCTTTCTACACATATACTTACTATACTTACACATGCACACATACACACATATCTATTTACCTACCTAGCCACCAAAAAAAACCTACATAACCCCATCCGCGCTTTTCGCGTCTCATCTCGTTTCGCCATCATCCATTCACCCATTCATTCATTCACTCATTGATCATAGCCATGATATGCAGTGGCAAGGCGATGACAGGCTCGAAAGTGGCCAACGACCTCATCACCATCACCCATTGCCCCATTGCCCCCATAAAGGAACAGCCATACCTACCTGTCCATCTACGTACCGTACGCAGTCCAAGACAGGAGGGCAGGACAGAAAGGCAAACCAAGACGTAACCGCAGACCGCAGACTGTGGTGCGACTTCTGGGCGTAGGCAGCTTCGGTCGATCCCGCGGTAGTTGGGGGACTTGCTTTTTTTTTTTTTTTTTTTTTTTTTCAAAAAAAAAACATAGTAGAAAATACATAAAGTGTTATGGTCGACCATGTATTTTCTCTTCGGTTGTTTTTCTTGCATCCTTTCTTCGGGCGAGATGACGCGTTGCGTGCCGATATTTCGGTCCAGTGACCTGGGATGTAGGTAGATAGACAGGTTGGTAGATGGGTATGTAGAAGCTGCGCCATTGCTGTTCCATCTGCGGACCTACCCGGACTGGAGACGCTGGGGACGCTGGCGGAGTAAGTAAGTGTCTCCTCCCAGCCAGCCAGCCAGCCAGCCAGGCATCGACGGTTGTTTGTTAGATCTGTCTTTTTGGTATGTATGGACTAGACATATGTGTAGGTATGTATGCGTATGGAGAATGGAGACTCGCCTTGCAGTAGAACGCGCGCCTTAGCTAGCTGCCTATTCCCAGGTTTAGGCAAGTAGCGATACCGGAAGAGTAGGATGGGGCCCTTTGGAGCATCCATTTATGAGACCCGTATGGGATCTTTTCCTTCTGTCCTCGGTACGTCGTCGAGCCGATTTCTGACTCGACTCGGGCTTGTCTGATCTGAAGCGGATCAAGCGAGCTCCAACGTATCTGGATGGTTGGATGGGATGGGATGGGATGGGATGGACATGGGAGGAAGACAGACAGACAGATAGACGAGCAGGCAGAATGTCACTTCCGAATGTCTCTTAGATGGTTACCTCGAAAATACCGGGTTGGGAACCATTCGGCAGAGGTTGGATGATAGGAAGAGTCGATTTAAACATGAAACATTGCCATCAGCCACCGTTCCAAAACAAGAGCAGCAACAGCAACACGAAGGATAAAGTAGGTAACTAGGTTGTTTGGTTGGCATGTTAAAAAAAGCGAGGCGTGAGAAACAAGGACGGGGGAAAAAGGCACTCTGTAGTAAGCTTCTTCTTCGTTCGCCCCAGCCTCTAGGAGTTCTGCCCGACTGCTGTGGCACCCCTGAGGTGTTGCCATATCGGATGACCGCTGTGGTTTCACCGATTGACGACGAGCCTCGGACTCTACGATGATTCGGCCGGCCGGTGAGAGAGCGCACAGCGTAGATGAGATTGGGTTTGAGATCTCTCGCGCCAGATCGACTATTCTCGTCCCATCTCACCCATACAAAACCCATACAGTCCACACGAATCCGTACATCCACGCTGCACCTCGCAAGAACTACTACGTAACAATAGCATGATATTATAATTCTCGTACGTATAGGTCTCGTGGCTTATGGGGGATGTACGCATACGTAGGTAGTAAGGCTTATGGGTAATAGGCCTATTTTTGAGACCCTGACTTGCAGATGGGCGACCGCCAAGCCCATCCATGGATTCCTTTGCCGGAAAACCAGGACCCCCTCGCCGGCCGTGCTTCTTCTGCTGGTGCTGGTGCTGGTGCTGCTCATAACTGCCTTCACCTATAACCTAGGAATCTTGCGTCATCAAGGAACGGGGCTGCATCCCCGGGCCGCAGCCGTCTCTCATACATAGCTCGGTAGAAGGAAAAGAGGGAAAATAAGAGAAAAAAACAAGGCATAGACGGTATGAGAATTTGAAATAAAACGAAATGCTTTGCTATGTTTGAGATGACCTCCCCTACCTACCTAGCTACATACCTAGCAGACAAGGCAGGCATAGACCGGCAGACCGTCCGGGTTTATCGTCGCCGGTATGTACGATAATTTGGCCTAACTATTCCAATACATACATACATGATACAGCGTACATATACTAGGGATTAAGGAGATTAATCATTAAGCAGCAGCAGCCAGCTTCCAAATTGTGGGTTCGCCTGCCCTGCAAGAGCGGGTAAACAGGGGTCTGGGGATCTCCCGCTCTGCTGTGCCATGCAGCAAGCAACGGACGAGCAGGTCATGGCAATGTCTGAGCGCCCTCAGTGGACCGGGCAGCCTGATAGAACCAGATCGTGGAGTGCACTCCCTAGAGAGAATCTGCCGAGGGAGGGCTGCGAAGGCTGCGAATCAGGGCATGGGGGGGGGTAGTGGCATTGCCGCCTATCTTTTTTCTCGCTGAGAACCTTGGAAAAATCATGGCTGTGCTCGCTAGTAGATCAGACGTCAGAGGAGGCTTACGCTTGCAGTCTCGTTTGAGGAACCTTTGGGCTCGGTTGGCTCGGACGGTTAGGGGGAAAGGAAAGGAAAGAAGGCGTCTGCTAGTGTGGGGTTCGACGCAAGCCACATACTATAATGGTAAGCTATAACACGAGGGAGATAAGGATTTGGTTTGAACGATGTGGGTTAAGAAGTCTCGAAAAGATGGGGTGCGACGCGAGAAGACGCGACGGCATGCCGAATGGATTCCTGAAATATCTTGTCAACCTGTATGTACCAAGATGCTTGGCGGATTAAAGAGAGAAAGGAAGAAAGTGTCTGTGAGCTGTGTTAGTGTATGAGTGTGTGGGTGTGTGGCAGAGGAATGGGATGGTGGCGCTACGCTAGGAACTGCGTAGGTACTAAACCAAGCAAGTCCTAGCAGGAAAACGGACTAGGGGGAGGGAACTGGGGAGGGGCCAAGATGGGATCCATGGGATCCATGGCAGCCCATGGATGGGGATCGTGGTCGTGGGCGTGGACGGTGGGCGGCTTGGGCGGTTGCATTTAAGGTAGAGTGGAGAATGGACAGTCGCCAAGCTGATCAGGATGGATCATGATTTGCAGATGGTCTGTGGGTTCCGGCTCCAGGCTTGGAACTTCAAGTGTCAGCTGGTTGGTTGACGAGACCTCATCTCATAGCTCTGACCAATGACTTCCCCCGAGCTGCCAAGGTACGACCGAGGGAGTCCGTTCTACTCAGCATCGAAGACAACCCCTAACCAGGTAGCCTAATGCTCCTCTTTGTGTTCCCCTCCTCTATACTCTTACTCACATTCTGCAGTTCCGTGCAGTTCGATGCACTTTTCTTCACACCATCTTCTCCTCTAGTATACCGGTTTCCCCAGACCTTTCTGGGTCCTGTACGGCGGGACTGTTTGCTCATATATCCATATATCAGGGATGGTTCCCCACTGATCACATGAAGCCTTATTAGTATAGAATCTAGAAATTCTAGTCTTCTTCTTCCCTATCTATATTTGGGTACCCGTTATAGATCTAGAAAGTCTAGCTCCCGTCCCGCTATCTGAATGAAGATAGCAAATAATAATAGGTATCGTAACGGAATCGATCCGTCAGGTGAGGGGTAATTCCATGGAATCCTAGGAAATCCCAGGTATTCCAGGTATACTAGCTATTCCAGCTATCCCAAGTCGACCTCTTCTCGACGGAACATCTGTTCCCGGTCGCCATTTGACTAACTAGTGCCGGGGATAAGAAGGCTATAAGCTTGGACTTCTGTTACGCTATACGTATTAGGTATGTATTGTACTGTACGTTACTCGTCCGGGGCGCAGTCTCGTCTCTCTATGAGACTATAACCCATGACTTCGGAGAGAAAAAGTTACTAGTTAGTCATATTCTCTCGTTTTTTTTGGAGGTATTAATTCATTTTGTCATTCTGTCAACCTGTCAACGGCTTCGCATCCGTCAGATTCCGCATGACGGTAATTTCGACCGTGGAGATAGATTATCAGGCCATCTTACGACGTTCCCCGGTTTGTAATTGTCTTTCTTTCCGTCGGTTCCGTTTCTTCGCGACCTCTATAGCGTAAATGCTGCTGAGACCTTTACGTCCAAGCCTCTTTGGTTATAGTCCGCATCTATCTTTACCGTGGCCTAATTCTTCAGCTGTGGCGCACTTTTCGCATATGCTACCATATACGAATTGCAAGGATCATTTTGGTGCAGGCCAATCAGGTTATGTTTCGACATGTGTCGGCCATGATGGAAGCCGGTCAGCGTCTGGAGACCGGCTCGGTTGGTCATTGGTCACGATGCTCAATGACGCTCTCCGGTTCCATCTCGCGACTTTCGATGGGTCCTCCGGCATATCGTGAAACATTGACATGTTGATTTGTTTCTTCAACAAAACTCCTGATGGTCGCTCCTATCGCGCCATGTGAGCCTGTGTGATATTTGTGAGCTCATATTCTTCTGGGTCGTCGCAACTCCCCACACGCCAGGATGATCGAGGTGCATCGGCAATCGCATACGCATCTGTCATTATCCATGGCTAGATCCGTGGTGATCGCTAGTCTGTATTTTTATGGTCCTTGTCGCAAACAAACGACGATCGACCTTCTAATAGTGGGAAATCTGATAGAAGCGTACCCGTGACAGAGGAGTAGGAGGCTGGCAGGCTGGTATCCGGCGCCAAGTGGAGCTCCTGCAGGTCGACGAATAGGTGAAGCTACAGCTTGGCTGCAGCATCGTGCAGGAAAGAAAATAGACGGCGTAAGGCGCTCGTCCTACTTAACCGTTTTTAGTCGGTATGACCTTATGGCTTAAGCATCTTTGATTACCTGGGCAACATATCACAAACTTTTGTGCTCGAGAAATTGCCCGTATGATGGCACGGATGCCCCTTTACACGAGATCTGATAGTTCTCATCTCATGCGTAGAGGAACCATAGATACTCGAGCATGATAGATAGAGATGCTCAGATGCTCCGTGTAATCAAAAAACATGCAGTTACGAATACTAGGCAAAGGATAGGTACATGAGTTGGGCACTAGCTCTGCGAATCATTTCCATGTACCTTACCTTATAGTAACCTGAATGTATAATACACACATCTATGATCTGATATACTAGACTTGCATGAAATAACCGGTCCTTCGATGGGACTCACGCGATAGTAGAGATAATGACGCTTAGACGACCACTAGATCAGAAATCTAAGCGAACAAGCTAATGAGACCGGTAAAAAAATTGTGACCACTTGGTATCTACCTAAGTAGCTGACAAGCGTACGACAGGGAGAGCTTAGGGCCTAGAATATATGATAGCTTGCGTCCCATTTAACGCGAGTCTAGACGATAGGGGAAGTGGCGTATATGGCGCGAAGC